TGGCTATAGGTGGGTTAGAATACTCAATAAGATAAAAACTAATTAATCAACAGCTAAGATACATGTTGCAATTAATGACGAAAGTAAGGCAAATTGAGCAACTTAAGACTGAAAAGTATGCTCCAAGAAAAATCGAGAAATTACCTCGAAAAGATAAAGTGGCATACATAGGTCTTGCTGAGGGAGAGTTAGGAAGTGAGAATGACCTTGACGAAGAAGATGTCGATTTAGGGGTAAATGAGGTGAATGTAGCTGAACTAAAGTCAGGACCTCCCTATGTTTGTCAATCATTAAAATCGCCCGAAACTAAGGATAAAACTTGGCCTAATAAAAGCTATGCCTTTGATGTCTCCAAAGCTGATCATATTTTTGATATTTTGTTAAAAGATGGGCAAATTGTGTTATTTGATTATCATAAGATCCCTACTTTAGAACAAAGAAAGGGTCAAAAATATTGTAAATTTCATCATGTGTATGGTCATTGGACTAATAATTGTGTTCGTTCCAAGGATCTGATTCAGGACGCTATTAAGTAAGGAAGGTTGAAATTCGAGCAAAAAACCAAGATGCCAATGAAAATTGACCCTGATCCAATGCAAATTGAGGCCAACTTCGTAGAACCTATCGACATATTGATGGTCGATGTTGCTAAAGAAAAGAAAGATTTTGACTCGATGGTAGAGGGATTCGAAAAGAAAGGAGATGTAGATAAAGCTCTCAAAAAATTCGAGAAGGAGAATGCTGAAATTTTTTGAAAGTAAGAGACACATTGCTGGATTTCCTCAGTCGGAAAAAAGAAGCCGACAGTGAAGTTATGCTATGCCCCAGGTGCAGTGCTGTTTTCGACAAAGCAGCAGCCAAAGCTTTCAAGCAAACTGAAATAAGGAAGCATTATCAAGTGACCACAAACTAGGTGATCACTAAGAACAAAAGGATCCAGACTCAAAATGCTTCGATCACCATACGGGACCCCCAAGCTGTTCAAAATAGGAATTTTGTGCCTGCTCAAAAAGTCCCTAGCAACAAATGGGTTCGAAATGTACTGCACCCGTCACTAGTTCGACCAAAGTGGCAATTGGTCGAAATAGTAAGATCTTCACAACCAGCAGTTGTGCCCTAGCCTAAGGTTGTATCACAACCTCAAATTCTTGCTAAAATTGGGTTCTATAGCCCATCAGGGAGTCATTTTCAATCGAAAAAACCTTACTATAAGGCTCTAATGACTAAGACTCAATGGAGAAGGGCTCAGAGGATCAGAAAAGTTAAGTATGAGGCACAAGCTTTAGCCCAAGCTCAAGCTCAAGTTTGAGCACAAACCCAAGTTCAGTCAACCCGAGGAAGTGCTATAAAAAATATGCGGCGCACCCCGGTGAGGATTGAGGTCAAAACGACTCAAGAAAAGGCACCAGTCGAGAAAAAGAACTTGAAGATAAAGGGTCCAGAAATTGAATACGACCCAGATGATGAATAATCACAGATGTATTCGAATCGGGTTTGATGATGATCTTGAAGACATCCTCAGAGTTGTGTCAATGTTACCTACTGAATACACCGAAAGAATTGGCAAAGGTGACGAAGACAACTTTTATGCCAATGGTGAACTAGATAATAACCCTTGGGGCTACTGTTATTTGACAGAGGATGTTCACTTGCCAAGTCATCGGCTACCTTCGAGAAGCTGACACGTGAAATGAAGAGCCATATGAAGTCACTGTACATTGCGGCTCGAATTAATGAGAAATTTTGAGTAAACAAAGTTCTCGTTGATTCTGGGGCAGCCATTAACATCATGCCCAGTTTTTTGCTAAAAAAGATCAGAAAATCCGAAGAAGATTTGTTGCCTCATAACTTAGTGCTGACAGATTATGAGGGAAAAACCTTGAGTTCTAAAGGGGATCTAATCGTCAACCTAAGAGTTGGGTCCGTGTCTCGAGCAACTATTTTTGTGGTGGTAACCTCTAAAACAAGTTATAATTTATTGCTCGGAAGGGAATGGATCCACAGAGTTGGAGCAATACTATCATCGCTCCATCAGAAATTGTGTCTTTGGAACAATGATGGAGTACTGGAGTATGTCGACGGAGATCAAAGCTATTTCAAGGCCGAGGTGCATGTTAGCAACCTCGATAGCAAAACTTTTGATAAGTCTTTCGCTAATATTGTACCACTCCGTATCAAAGATGTAGGTGGGCTACACTTCGGTCCAAATCCTCACCTACCTTTACCTCAAGAAATTCGACACTAGATCTGTCTGGATCCTTCAATTGGCTTTTACAGTTTCCAAGAAAGGGTGGAGGCCAAAAACAATGGAAAAGATGAAGTCTGAAGAGAGCCTTTTGGCTCAAATTTTGGCTTATGTAGCTGAAAACAAAATAAAGATGGCTCTTGAAGCTGTCGGAGCTTTGGAGGCCGATCAATCGAATTTGGCCATAGAAGAAAAACCACAAAAAATTAAAAGAACAACAACACACGAGGTCGTTGACTCAAAAACAACAGTTCATTACCATGCTAAAATCAACATGGTCGAAAGCTTGGCCTGTTTAGCCGAAAGAAGGGAAGCAACCCTAAAAGCAGCCGAAGGATTGGAGGCCAACCTACCTAATTTGGCCATTAAAAATTTAGCTTACCCAGACGAACAGAAGAAAACAACTCTCGAGACATGTGTGATACAAGAAAACTCAATCTTAGAAACTGAAAGCAATGAAACTCAGCTAGATTGCATTTATGATGACTTGCCGATTGGGTTTGAGCAAGACACAGCTCGAAAAAGCCCAGAAATGGAGGCGCAACATCCCTTAGAAGAAGTAAACCTTGGAAATAAGAAGGAGCCTAGGTTAACTTTCATCAGCAAATTGGTCAACAATGAAGTGAAAAGCTAGTTAGTCAAATTACTAAGAGAATTCAAGGATTGTTTTGCTTGGGATTATGACTAGATGTCGGGTCTTTCAAGAGAATTGGTCAAACATTGACTTCCAATTCGACTAGAAAAGAGGCCAGTGAAGCAACTACCAAGAAGATTTGCGCTAGAGATTTTGCCAAAAATCAAGGAAGAGATCGAAAGGCTCATTAAAGCTAAGTTCATTCGAACAGCCAAGTATTTCGATTGGATCTCGAACATAGTGCATGTAATTAAGAAAATTGGGTCCCTTAGAATTTGTATTGATTTTTGAAATCTAAACAGTACTACACCAAAAGATGAGTACCCTATGCCAGTAGCCGACATGTTAGTAGATTCGGTAGCAGGAAATGAAATTCTAAGTCTATTAGACAGATAATCAGGGTATAACCAAATTTTTATTGCTGAGGAAGATATATCGAAAACAACTTTTCAATGCCTAGGAGCTCTAGGAACTTATGAATGGGTAGTAATTCCATTTGGGTTAAAAAATGTCGAAGCTACTTACCAGAGGGAAATGAACACTATTTTTCATGACATAATTAGTGAATTCATGCAAGTTTATATTGATGACATCATTGTAAAATCTAAGTGTAAAAATTACCATATTAATCATCTTCAACAAGCATTTGAAAGAATGCGAAAATATGGTTTAAAAATGAATCCTCTAAAATATGGTTTTGGTGTTACTGCAGGACAGTTCCTTAGCTTCATTGTCCATCAGAAAGGGATTGAAATCGACAAGAATAAGGACAAAGCAATATTCGAGACACAACCACCTTCAACTAAAAAACAGCTGCAATCATTGTTGGGAAATATCAACTTTTTATGAAGATTCATTTCTAAGCTTTCCGGCAAGACAAAAATCTTCTCACCTTTATTAAAGTTGAAGAAAGAGGAGAACTTTTGATGGGAAGCTGAGCATCAAACAGTCTTCGAGGAAATTAAGCAGTATTTGACAAGACCACCAGTAATGGTCCCGCCTACAAAAGGTTCTCCTTCAAAAGCTGTACATCTTAGCATAAGAAGAAACTATTGGAAGTATGCTAGCGCAAGAGGACGAAAATGGGGTTGAAAGAGCTGTTTATTATCTTAGTCAAGTGTTAGTAGGAGCAGAATCTTGATACAGTCCCATCAAGAAATTATGTTTGTGTCTGTATTTTTCTTGTGAAAAACTAAAGTATTCCATTAGGCCTTTCGATGTGTATGTTTATTTGCATCATGATATAATAAAGTATTTTTTGATGAAACATGGTAGAGTTGAAAAATGGACATTGGCACTAATAGAATATGCTATAATATATAAACCATTAAAATCAATAAAATGACAAGTTGTTGCTGATTTCGTTGTCGATCACTCGATTCCAATTAAAGAAGTTGATTTTATAAGTTTAAAATCATGGAAGTTATATTTCAATGGCTCTAGCCACAAAAATGGAATCGGAATTGGAATACTGTTAATCTCACCGGACAAAATCCCAACTAAATTGCTTTTTTAGATAAAATCAGTCTGTTCAAATAACAAAGCTGAATATGAAGCACTATTGGTTGGGCTTGAAATGTTGCTAACTTTCAGAGCAAGAAATGTAATCATTCGAGGGAATTTTGAGTTAGTAATAAAATACGTAACCAAAGAATATAAGTGCTTAAGTAGAAATCTCGTCGAATATTGGATAAAAGCGAACAAATAATTGCAAAAATTTGACGAAGTAATTTTAGAACATATTCCTCGAAACAAGAACCAAGAGGCTAATAAATTAGCTCAAATTGCCTCGAAATATAAAATTTCGAGTGAAAATCTTGCAAAATTAATTGAAATAAGAGAGAAGTTAGGATCAAGAAATCTTGAGATTCTTAACATCAACGACCTAACTAATCAAGATTGGAGAAACCCTCTAGTTAACTATTTGAAAAATCCCAACACCCCAAGTGATCGAAAATTGAATTGTACAAACGGGGTGTTGATGGGACTTTGCTTCGATGTCTTGGCGAACATGAGGCTTATATTACCTTAGCAGAGATCCATGAAGGGATCTGCGGAGCCCATCAAGTTGGGGAAAGGATGAGGTGGATGTTACTTCAAGAAGGTTTGTATTGGCCCTCGATGATAAAAGATTGCTTTGAGTATGCAAAATCTTGGGAGGAGTGTCAAAAGCATGGTAACATTCAATACGTCCCAGCAGCAGAGTTACATTCCATAATCAAGCCATGGCCTTTTCGAGGCTGGGCTTTAGATCTCATTGGCCAAATCCATCCCCCTTTGACGAAAGGCCATAAATTCATCCTTGTAGCTGTCAACTATTTTACGAAATGGGCCAAGGCAATTCCATTGAAAGAAGTTACTCAGAATGATGTTAATTTTATCGATGAATACATAATTCAACAATTCAGAATACCAGAAACATTAACAATTGATCAAGGAATCATTTTTGTCGGTCAAAAAATAACTCAATATGCTAAATCCTTAAATATAAAAATGGTAACTTCGACGCCATATTATGCTCAGGTCAACGGCCAAGTGGAGGCAGTAAATAAGATTTTGATCAAGTTGATCAAGAAACACATCGGGTCAAAGCCAAGAAATTAGAATGAAACCCTAAGTCAAGTATTATGGGCGTACAAAAATTCCCCAAAAGAGGCCACAGAAGTAACTCCATTTTGATTAGTTTATGGCCACAAAGTTGTCTTACCAGTTGAAGTTAATCTACAATCAGTTAGGTTACAACGGCAATTCGAGTTACCAAGTGACGATTATTGGGCCTTGATGTTCGGTGAATTAAATGATCTAGACGAAATTCGTTTAAGTGCTTTAGAAAAAATGATTCGAAAAAAAGAAAGAATTTCGAGACCATACAATAAAAAGGTTCAATACAAGTTATTTAATGTTGGTGATTTAGTATGGAAAGTTATTTTACTGTTCGATAAAAAATGAAGGAGGTTTGGAAAATGGTTCCCTAATTGGGAAGGCCCATTTGAGATAGAAAGCGTGTTTTCAAATAACGCGTATTCAATTCAAGAATTAGGAACTAATAGTCGAGTTATGTCAATTAACAGTAAATACTTGAAACCATATAAACCAGAAGTGCATGAAATTAAAATAACTTGATCACGGTAAAGGAAGATAAGCTCGAGCAATAAGTCAATTAAAAAATAAAGTGCATTAGTAAATGAATTCGAGTAATTACAATCAAATTATTTACAAAGAATTGAAAGTACAAAAAATTAAAATGGAGGCTTCGAGCGCATTTCGATAAATGTAGCCCTCAAGCCCTGATATCTAGTCTCGAGAGATGTACACTGAGCATCTAGGCTCGAAATATCCTCCATTGCTCGAGCCTTTTCGACAGTCAGGGTCTTCACATTTTCAAGAAAATTCTGTCTCTTCTTCTAACAAGCCGCACTGGCCCTCTTCAACATTTCCTCCTCCTTTCGAGCTTTTTCAAGTTGTTTCTCAAGATCAACAATTCTGGCCTAGATCTCTTTCTTTTTCATATCTGCATTATGGGTCAATTCCTTCAGCTTACCCAATCCAGCTCGAGCTTCTTTTAGTTTATCAGAAGTTGAATCTTGTATTGCTCGAGCCTGCTCTTTCTTGGAACCAACCACAGAAATTTGGTCGATAATAGCCAGCGAAGCGACGAAAACAGTCTCGAAACGTTAAAGACCTTTAGGAAAAGGAGAAATTTGATTTTTTAGCGAAAAGAGTAAGCCTTTTATCTTCGCAATCAATTCTTTGTCAGTTTGTAGATTCTTCATCATTGGCGCCTCGAAAGCCGAAGACCTAAGCTTTTCAAGCAGTTTCTCAACTGATTCAGCAAGCTTTGAGACCTCAAAATGTGATCCTGAAGGGGTCGAAGAAGAAGAAAATGTGAAAGACCTTGCTAAAAGCCTGTCGATAGCACCTTCAAGGTCCTCTTCCACCATGGCGTTAAAATCTTCAAAATTAATTTCTGAATTGGATGCCTTTGGTGGAATCACCTCTTGACGAGAAGGGACTTCAACAGGAACTGGCGCTGCCTCAGGTACCAGTTCCTCCTCTGACTGTGATTCGTCAAGTACCTAGAAAGAAAAATTAAGATATGGACTTCATTGCAAAAGAAAATTTTTGAGCAAATTCAGGGATTCTTACTGCAGGAACTTGCTCTAGTGGAGCTTGGTCATCAGAACTCAAGCTGGCTGAGCTCGAAGTAGCATCTCCAGAAGAACTCGAGGTCCCTGAACTCGAAGATGAGGCAGCCTCTTCACTCCCCTTCGCTAAGTCCTGAGAAGCTACTTCAAGTTCCTTTCTCGAGCTTTTTTGAGACTCCTCAGGGATAGGGGTCAAACACTTTTTAGGCATTTTTTGGACCCTAGGGGGCGAATTGACACTTGGAGTGTCATAAGTTGAAACCTGCCATAAATAAAGGATTAAACATTTAGAAAGGACATATTCATTACTCAAAAATTAGCACATCAAGATTTAATTCAATTGATGCATGAGAAGGTTGATCAGGTGTCGGCTGCATAGGTGTCGAAATAGCCATTTCAACATGAGCTTTGGATTTGGTAGGAATCTTGGCTTTCGAGGAAGCCTTAACCTGGAGAATAGAGAAAAGATAAGTCCTAAAAAGAAAAAAAGAAAAAAAAAAAAAACTCCTTCAAGAAGAATTTCACAAGTCCTCACCTTAGAAACCCCGGAAGTAGTTTGGGGCGTACTCGAAGAAGAATCTTTTCGAGGTGTGGACGAAGAGGGACCCTTTCGAGTAGATTCTGCTTTTTCTTGGGAGGCTCATCCTCCTCCCAATCCTCTTGGTCATATCGACCAACAACAGGTTTTGTTGGAAGAGTTGCAAAATATAAAATTTTTAGTTAGATTAAATTAAAAACACAAAGGAAAACTTTGAGAAAGACTGAAGGAAAAAGCCTTACCATCTTTGAATTTTGTAAGAATTATTACACCCTGGATTTCGAGATGAAGAGGATATAAAAAAGTTTTTAAGGAAAACCTTGACATTGTTACCCTGCTCCAAGGTGGGGATAATTAATTTAAAAATGTCGAAGGCAAATCTACCCATTTTGAAATTATTGGTAAAGCCAAAGTAAAATTGCTATTTGGTAAAGGTGGAAAAGTTGGTCAAAATTTTTTGAAAAGGGTTTCTTCTATAAACTTGTCAAAAGGGTGAAATTCTTTGTATTTATTTACTCCTTCTCTTGCCTTATCTCTTAAGGAAAGAGCGACTTCAAAAATGGTTTGAGATATCCTTTGTGGTAAGTAAAGTACTTTAAAAAATCGCTCAAAAGACTAAATTTCTCGAATATGTGTACCTCTCATCTTGGCCTTAGGATCTCCCTTCTGAAACACAGAAAAAGCATTGGTCATCTTCCGGTAGCATGCATTGACAGAAATATCAAACTATTGATAGTAGCTAGACCACCAACTCTCAAATGCTTGTGTGCTATAGAAAGAAAGCTCAAACTCTACAGAAGAAAGCTCTGCCCAACGTTTTCTAAAGAAGCTAATGGCCTCGTTCAAATCGTCAATGCTTTTTCAAGCATTATCAAGCACACTCTGATTTGTCCCTTAGAGCATAAGAGTAGGCTTGAATTGGCTCAAGCCGAATTGTCGAGCCACCAAATTGGGTTGGTAGGCAACCAACTGATAAGGCCTTACGGTGAAGCTGCAGAAAAGCAGTTGACAAGAGAGGAACTGCCTCCAAGTTATTAAACTCTCAGCTTGAGCACCTGGAGTCTTTGATGGAAAAGGGCATTTGAACCAGACTAGTCCAATTTTTTGAGAAGAAAATGGGGCTAATTGAGGGCTGAAGGTACGAAGTTTAAGAAGAAAGTGAAATATTGTCGAAAAGCATCATAGTAATGCTTCTTAGCAATACTAGTGGTGAGAAAAGTAAGACAAAATCCCTCTAAAATCTCTCGAGAAGTATTAGGAGGCTCAGAACTTTGTAATTTATCCTCAAAAATAGCATTCAGCCATAGCTGAAGCAACCAAAATGGACCACTGATAACAGGGAGAGAATCATCAAATCTAAAAGAAGCCACTACTTCGTTCAGATTTTCATACAAATTCCCCGAAATAAGTTTTCCAAGACACACTGAAGACTTTCCATGTAAAAGTTGGGCAAAGGTAAGAAGAGCCTTTGGAACTTGAAGTGACCTTGAGCAAAAAACATAGGCCAAAAGCCAAAACATGAGGAAAGCAACATGCTCCTCATCAGTAACTGGACCATCTCTATTCATATTGAGAGAGATGAAGAGTTGATAAGAAAGCTTTTGGAAATTGGGAATTATGTCTGGATTTTTAGGATGAGAATCTGGTAGAAACGAAGGACCAGTAGGTTTGAGCCAAGCAATAGCAGCAACTTCAAAAAGGGTGGGGGTTATCATGCCACAAGGCATGTCAAAAGAACTGGTACTTCGATTCCAAAATAAAAAAAAACTCATGATCATGGGAAAATTATAAGACAAATTATACCTAGAATGTTGAATTATGTCATAAATCCCTATCACTTTCCAACTGTCTTGTTTTTCTTTTTTGACTCTATCTAACAAAGGAAGGTAAAGGTCTATAGTAAATGGGGGCATAGTGCAAAATATTTTTTGCAAACTTTAAAGAGAATCTAGATTATATTTTGAGGAAAAAGCTAAAATCCCCTCGACAGAAATAGGAGAATCGACAGATTCTTGGGGAACAAAGGGACCTAAAAATGCATAAGGCTTCGAGTTCATTATGAAAGGAATGAGTACCTAGGATTTTCATATGGCCAGTTCTCCTCCTCGAGAGGTGGCTCAGGCAGATAGCTTTAATGACCCAGAGGCACGAGCTCAGCATTTGAGAAAGCTGAAGGAACCTTCGATTTGGACGCCATTTTTGAGAGAAAATGAAAGGAAGAATAGAGGAAGCAAGAAAGACTTCGATACAAAAGGAGCAGAAGAGAGAGAACAAAGCTCTTAAGAGGATGAAGTAAAAATAAAAGAGTAAAAAATGAGGAGGTAACTCCACCTTTTATACTGGTCCCCAACTTCGCGCAAGGCCCGTAAAATAGCCCAAGTTGAATATTTTTTGAGGTGTTTAGAGGATTTTTCAAGTCTCTTACACTCAAAACTGCTCGAAAAATAGGACTGGTAAGATATTGCTCTAAGTCCACAAAACTTGTGGCTTTTTCGAGATATTTTGAGGAGTTTTCAAGTCTCTTACACCTAAAACTGCTTGAAAAACAGGAATAATAAGAAAATATGCTAAGTTCACAGGACTGAGTCTTTCAAGGAGTTTTTAAGGGTTTTTCAAGTTCCTGACACACAAAATTGCTTAAAAAACAGGAAGTGATCAGAAAATATTCTAAGTCCACAAACCTGACAGAGCTCCAGATCTTCTTCAGAATTGCTCGAAAAAAAAAGAAGCGATCAGAAAATATTCTAAGTCCACAAATTTGATTGAGCTCCAGAATTACTCGAAAAATAGGAAGTAGTCAGAAAATATTCTAAGTCTACAAACCTGATTGAGCTCCAAATTTTCTCAAGAATTGCTAGAAATTATTCTAAGACCACGAGAACAAAAATAGCTCTCAGATTCTCCAAGATTAATCGAAAAATAGAAATCAAGAGAGAAATTATTTTAAGTCCATAATGTTAAATGAGCCACTTAGATTTCTCTCAGAAACTGCTTGAAAAATAGAAAATATAAAGAAAAGATTCTAAGTCCATAAGAGTTATGATAGGACTCAAAAGTTATTACATGACTCAGAAGCGGTTACCACCAGACAAAGGAAAATCGTGGGCGATAGCAGTTATAGAAGAAACCCCAATCAACAGCATAATCACAAGCAATCGTGAAAAATGGGCATCAGCAGTTGAAAGAGAACCACAATGGTCTTCCTGTCTATAAATACTCTAAAGCGTCATTTGCCAAGAAATGACTTTTGGCACCCAAATACCTACACTCAAAACCTCTGCACGCTGAAAACCTGCACCGCACCAGACACTAGCTACCAGGAGACTCACAGCGTTGCTGTTCATTGCTAAGAGTCGTACGTTTCAATTTCTGCACATTTACCTTTCTGCATTTTAATTCCAGTTTGTTTGCTTATTTCTTTTCTGCAATTTGGTTCTTGTTTTAGCACATTATTGTAAAAACCTCTATACCGTAATTATGTTTTATATTTTTCCTGTTTAACAATTTGTTTTACAACGTCCATTTAATTATAATACACTTAAAAGAACCCAAAGATGATCTAATTCAATCCCCAAATTGCTCTTAGATTATTTGTTTACAAATTATCATTTTTCATTCTAAACAATTCCATGCACACATTCCATATCATTAGAACACCGATAACCCTCATCTACCAGCCCAGCATATTCCTGTGCCCCAAAAGTTTCAATCGCTATCACTATTCGCAAGTTTCTATAGTATCTTTGAAATTTCACTTTCAATTAATGTGCATTTCCAGCAACAAGCATTGTCAAGTAGAAGCATATGGCTTCTATTACATCCCATGTTAGCTCCCAAAATGTTAGCCTCCTGAACCCCACCCACTGTTTTCACCAAGGTAGCAACCCAACCCGCCCCATAGCTCATGCCAAACCGAGGTATGAGCTTTCTTGTCAATACCCATTTCTTCGTACACCTTGAATCCTGGTACGACTTATATTATGGTGTAAAGTTTAAACCCTTTAAATGGAAAATCATTTTGTGGGTCGATTTTTCATCTTTGATGTTCGTTCAATTTTCGCCCTTCATGGGAGAGGGAGTGAGAGTTATTATTTTTTAAATATTATCAATTTTTTAGACTTTTTTATGAATATAAATTTTTAAATAATAAAATATTAGAAATAATAACGACGTACCAGTAATGAATTGAAGTTAAATTTCTAGTATTCAATTCATCTCTTTCAGAAAATTCGGTTGCAAGAACTCAATCTTCATATTTTGAAAATGTCAAAAATTAAACCTTTGAACAATTTTTAGAAATAAATATAATTAAACCTTATAAAATGCCTTGAAATGAAAGATATTCGAAGGTGGTGATTCATTATACAACAAAAATGAAGTTCAAATGGAAAATTGCATACCCTTCACACAAAGATCAACCGATTGTATCATTGAACAGATAAGTGAAAGTAAAATTAAATATTAATCTAAAAAAATTGCATGTGTTGTGTAGTTTTACAAGGTTACACATGTAATATAAGGAACATAATCCAAAATGCACTACTACCAGTTGTAATTTCTCACATGCCCATCACTAGAGTTGCCAAACCTTGATGCTGAAAATCTATGATTTCCCTTAGCTGATCCTTGGGACCTAGAGGTTCCAGCATGACCATTCCATGCCTTGGCATATTTAAAATTCGGAGCATGACTTCCATTTCCAAATGAATGAATTTTATTGCTTCTAGAAGATGGTGTCCCTGAAGACCTCCAATTGCTCCTAGTGGACATGGAAGAAGAGAATTCTCCAGGATGCTCTGCCGTCCAGCCACCTCTGCTCTTTGATTTCTTGGGGGTTGTATAGCCTTTTTCTTCCGTTGGATGATCCGTTGTCCAGCCACCTCTACTCTTTGATTTCTTAGGAGTTGAAAAGTCTCTTTCTTCTGCAGGATGATCCATTGTCCAGCCACCTCTACTCTTTGATTTCTTAGGAGTCGTAAAGCCTCTTTCTTCTGCAGGATGTTCCATTGTCCACCCACCTCTACTCTTTGATTTCATAGGAGTTGAAAGGCCTCTTTCTTCTATAGCAGGCCGCTTCTTCTTTCGACTTTTACCAATATCATGAGGTGCAGACCTATATCCCATGGCATTTTCGTTTAGGGATCTTTTATCTTTAATGTTTGATGAATCACGATACCTCCTCCCTCCCTGTGGATGAAAGAAACAGCAGCCAAGCACTAAGTATTCTATGCCACAAGAAAACAAAAAAAAAAAAAAAAAAAACATAAAAAAGGAAAAGGCAAACAGCTGTAAGAATTTAACAATACATATCCTGAAATGTACCTTGATAGAACTTGTGCATTCCCGGGCAAAATGCCCTTCTTCACCACACTTGAAGCAAGAACTAGGTGTGGCTCCACTTGAGGTCTCAACTCGCAACCTTGAACATGCCTTCATCAATTGATTCCCAAATTTATATAAGATGATATTTTTATTTCAAAAGCATTTTTTGAGTCAGCAGAAAGCTTAATTAAAGTAATGGATAGTCGAGCTTTAAGTCTAGTTGCTTTAAGATGAAACAAGCTACTCCAAAGTTATAATTCCACATTATCAGAGGAAACCATAAGGCTAATATAGATTTAACTATAGTTTGATAAAGTTAATATATACTTTTTATAATGAAATATGATATTTTGAAATACTAAACAATGCAAACTCATATTACAAGAGAAAGGTTGATAAACACCGATAACCATTGGGACAATCAAAAGACAAAGGTGAAGGAAGTAATTCCTATTAGCTGTATTTTCCTGATTCTAGTCTCAAAGTAGCTGAAAGTTAATGGCTTGCATACTAGCATATCATTTCCTTGTTTCCATGCATGTTTTCAGACTTTAACCACCTTGTAGACTCAGCACAGGCACTGTTCAGTAAATATTTTAGAGTACAATACTTTAGTGACAACTACAAGGTGTGCATGTATTTGCTAGGAGTGATGCGGCATCCATTCATTTTAGTAAATATTGAATTGCAAGTCTAGTAGCTTCTAATCTTCTTTTCCCTGACTTCTAGAGAGAGCTTAAAACCAAGAGCCATTGCTAATTATATGACATGGATAACATATGCAATCACCAGTAATTTCTGCAACTACCAACACCATATACTCTCTCTTGTCCTTTTTATAAGACATTTTTAACTAAATTACACAGACCAATAAAAAGTAGTCAAAATTAATTAGTTTTCTTGATTTTTTGAAAACGTATACAACATGCTAGTTTTACCGACATTTAATATTATTGTCCTTAATCTCACTATAATTTTAATTGTGAAAAATTGCTCCTTTCCTTTCTTGTTTTATTTTTTGGTTCTCACCCACCAAAACCTTTTATTAATGGCATGTAGGAAAAAAAAAAGATAAATGCTTCATAGGAATTGTAAAATGCCTTATAATAAGGACTGCCAAAACCATGTAGATGGTGCCTTATTAAGAAAAGGACTAAAGGGGGTATTGCTTAACACTTTAGCTTAAGACTGAAATCCTATTTGGTTACCTACAGATGAAAATTGCTATTAACACAATGGAGGGACAAGTTTCGATTTTGAAAGAAATGATGTTGTCATTGAAGCATCTACAGTGAAAGGTTTCCTTCATATAGTAACCTTTTGGTGATCTTCATTGCATATATGTCAACAAACAATTTCCTGGTAATGACCAAAAGATCTTTTCCTTCTTTTATTACAATTGTTTTCATTAAATAAAACTCTAAGCTTGCAAACATTCTAGTGTCTAGTATGAAAAAGACAAAATAGAACTTTTTAACAGTGTCACAAAGGAAGAGTTGTCTAGATTATGCAAGAGAGAAATGCTTATCCCAGGCAAGACCAATAAAACATTAAATAAAACTTACCAAACCCGTATGACCCAACCGACCGCATTTGTAACAAGAAAATTCTCCTGGTGTTGCATCATCAGTGTTGACACAGCATAAATGGCCAAGCCTCTTGCAGACATAACATTGGACTTCCTAATTAAACAAAAGAAAGAGATACACAGTCACTGATTGAGAAATTTATATCCAATGTAAGCCACTTATCATTATGCAAATCCAACCAAAAACCATTTTGCAAATTAGACAGTAAAAGAAAGAAGGAAAAGAAAAAGAACAACCTTCAGATCATCCAGTGCATAATCATTCCAGCATGAAAACATATCATGCCCAGAATCTCCACATTTTAAGCAAATCTTCACACCTTTCGAAGCACTTGCATGCTTCTCTGGACAGTCTTTAGCACGGTGTCCACCCTTCTTGCAGATAAAGCAGTCCTGTGCCTATAGGAGCATAAAGCAAATCTCAACAAATCACTTTAAACCTTCATATACCAGTAAAAGTATGGCAATTAGACATACCTTACTGCATTGTTTTGCATTGTGTCCCAAACCCCCACATACATAGCACGGTTTCTTCCTTTTTGCTGCTGTACAGTTCACAGCAGTGTGACCTTCCTCGCCACAATTGAAACACGCTCCCCAACTACTATTCGGAGGATCAAAATACCTAGGACCGCGCTGACAGAACAGAAACATATAGTGATATGATAAATCCAACAAAGCTTTCTTCCTGGCACAGTATTTTCAAATTTGACATTTCATATCAAAGATTTCAACTCACAAGAAGCTTTCGCAGAACCATATTGTCGCCCATCTGAGCCGCCGCCGCTGCAATTCCTTCCGCAGGCTCATGATTCTCCGTGGTTTCAATTGCCTCTTCCGCCTCTTGTTCTTCAGCCATAATAACCTACAGAAAGCAGAAAAACATCAAATAATTTTTCAAACAAACACGACCAAAAATTTGATTGTCCAAGTGAGTGTTTGGATTCGATTCAATTTCACTAAATCAAATTATAAGCTAAATAGATTCATAGCAGCGTTTTATGCATAAACTTTTGCAATGCAATTTATAAATAAAATTTTCATTATTTCAGTTCCATTTTTTCCCCTTAGAAATTGTTTCAACTTTCAATTGATTCAGAATCCGATTGAGACATGAAGACTATCTCACAAGGGATTGTTTGGGTCCATTTTGATTAAACCCTAACGAAGTTTAATCTTGGATTATAACTAAGGGAAATAGAGCATAAAAACCATCTTTTAAATTGAAGAAACCAAACGCGGAATAAGACGCACACTTTGATCCCCGGCCTCCACCTTCAACTTCGTTTTCTTCTCTTCCCTCACTTCAGAAGCAGCGATTCCGCTCGGCCCATCGCAGACGCCGTCGTTTTGCGGCACTACGAGTTCGGGTTTGTGCAAAGACGAAACGACACCACCAGCACCGTTCAAAACGACGTCGTTTGTGGCGAGTTTGGTCGCACGCATTCGCAGGGCCTTTTCGACGATCTTAAGGCTGAGATCTTGGTTTGCCTCGTCGTCGTCGCTGCTGAAGACGAGTGACGGCGTTAAAGCGCCGTCAACATTGTCTTCTTCGGCGTGTTCTAATGCCTTCGCTTTGAGCTTCTCTTTGCGCCCCATTCTAATGGTATGCTATGCTATTGCTGCTTCAGAGTTCCAATTGGAAACCCTAATTGCTGATCCTTTTTTCTTTCTTTTTCGGTGAATAGTGAGTTTGAAAAATAAAACAAAATACAAATAAACAAACGACATGTGCGATGCTATAGTTATCTTAAATTAAAATATTTTTAAAACAAAATATTAAAGATATATTACATGATTATTTGTAATTATTTAATTTTATAGATTTGAAAATAAATATTATCATTATTATTGAATATCTAAATTAAAGTTAAGAGATAGACTTTCTAAATTATAAAAAATTCAAATTTTAAATTAAGATTGAAGTAAATAACTAACTTTTCAAAAAAATTTATTTTCTTTCTACAGCTCATGTATCCTGAAATTTGAAAAATTATATATAAAGATATATATTTAAAAATTTTGTTTTATACAAGTGAAAAGTGATTTTTTTTAGAGCTCACTACTAACTTTTCTCACTCAAAATATGAAATTTTGAGAAAAAATTTTATTTTCTATATTTTATTTAAAAATATTTTTTAATAATTTAAAAAGACATCATTAAAAAATATTTTATATTAAAAATTTATTTTTATTCACTCTCTTTTTCATTCATTCAAACAAGTAAAGTAAAATTTATTTTTTATTTTTTTAATTTCTATTTATTCAAATAAAACATATTTTCTATCTCATTCTTTGTATATTTCTCTTTCACTTTTTTTTTGTTTCATTTTCTATTTCATTCGAATGTGGTATTAAAGGAAAATATTAAAATTTCTAAAAATACATAATAATTTATGTGCCCAATAAGACTTGAATGCAAGAAAAAAAAATAAAGAAAACAAATAAATTCAAAGCTTAAATAAAATTATCTTAAACACCACCTTTTTCGTTGAACTCCATTTTTTTTTATATTTTATTTGATTTAATTAAACTTGTCATTGTTCACTAAACTCTTGCATATTATCTTTCTTCTTTTCTTTTTTTTTAAAATTTCTTAATTATGCTACTTGTCAATTGTCTTTCTTAAAATTATGTCCATTGTGCATTTTTATTTTTTTGAAATTTTGCTAAAAAATAACAAATTTATTTAGTCAAAATAGATTTCATATACCCAACCACTCAATAAATCAATGTATATTTTCTAGCTCTACAATACAATTGAGGTGGTTTTTATTTTTCAAGTTCAAGGTTTATGCCAACTATAAATTTTAGTTTATATTCATTCTTTAATTTAATTATGTTTTTGTTCATGTAAAAGTAACACTTTTTAAACAAGTTATTTTTAAAAAAATTATTAAAATTTTGTTTCTGAATTTAATATTTACTGTAAATTATATTATGCTAAATGATAAATTAAATAACAAAAATTTAGTTTATTACTGTTACATTTCTATCATCTTATTATTTTTTTAATATTTTATTATTTAAATAGTAATATATTCCAAAAATATTTCTTAAAACATATTTAAATTATTTTGAAATTTTCATAAATATTCCAAAAATGAGCATAAACGAGCAATACTAAATCTTAAACCCTAAACGAGTAATACTATTTGTAAGGGTAGCGAGACTGAACCCCATTCCCTCTCCTTACATTATTCTAAAAGCATCAAGAGTCTCAAACACTCTATCTTGACCAACAAATAAGTGACCAAAACGCAAAAACAGTGATGAAACGGTAACGAACTTGCTTTAAATTGGAGAAGCCTTCATAAGCCGCGATAACATAATCAAAAGTCTTCACTAGAGATAGAAGCAAGAATCAGGATTCTCTCATGATACATAACTCACATGCTACGTGTTTTTGCATTTTTTTTAAACGAATAATTTTTTGCTTAAATAAAAATATAAAAATATAATCACATAAAAGTGATGTTCGTGTCAAAACATGAGAGAATTTTGATCTATAGAAACAAGGTTATACCTTTAATAATAAAAAATTAAATTCTAATTTAAGCATAATTTCCAAGGCAAAAACAAAATTAGAGAGATATAAAAAATAAATTAATTGTTAATTTTTTAAAATAATTTTCTAAGAACTTTTTATAAATATTAATTTTAAAATTATGAAATATTAAATAAAATAATAATATGAAGATTAATAGCAAGAATTAAATATTTATATTTTAAAAATATTAGAGATTAAATTCTAATAAAATCTTTTTTAAGATCAATGAATGTTATTTTTAGGAGACAAAAATATAATTATGTTTAATTTTTATTAATTAATTCAAGTTCACTTTAATACAACAATGAGCAATTTCTCCGCTATAAGCATGCTTTGATGATTATCATTTAGGAATCTTAACACACGCTTAATGTCTAATTTATTTTAGATTCATTATCTGTTTTTTTTTTATCTTAATTATTTTGGTCTGAAATTAATTTCTTTTCTACATTGATCCAATTAAGCTAATTTATAAACAAATCAGTCTATATAATTTAATGTTCTGTTTTAAAAAGAAGTGTTTAACGTGTACTTGTAAATTTAAAAGATATTATATATTCTTCTTAAATTAATATATGTAATTTCTTTAATGTGTTAAATATAAAAGTATATTAATATTTTTTAATTAAATTACTAATTTCATTACCTGTTAATATAAAATTAACTATCAAGTTTGTTTTCTTCCTTAGATTAATAGGTATAATTTCTTTAATATCTTAGATATAAAAATATATTAATATTTTTTAATTAAACTACTAATTTCATTATCTGTTACAAGGAGTAATAGATTTTACCTTAAAAAAATTTAATTTATAATTTCCATTTTATATTTAAAATAATTTATAATCTATGTAACATTCAATTTTCTATAAATATTTACTGTCTTCCACCCCTTTTAAAATTATTTTACAAAATATTTTTTAAAAATAAAACACAATCTTAATAAACTCTCCTTAATTTTATAAATTCTGCTTTGTATTTCATGTTTGTATCCATATTTTGATCGATATTTAATGAGTCATTTTTAATATCTCTGTTTTGCTAATTAACATATTTTTCTTTTAAGATGTTTTTTAATCTCATTTGTATTCAGTATGCAAACAATCTCATTCTCTTCCATCCGCAGCCAATTCTCGCTTTCTTTCATAAATGTTGACAATGGAATAATAAATATAAGAAACTATTTAATAGTTTTTTAAAAGCTATTTTTAAGTAAAACAATTATATTTAATAGAAAATGTTTCACTTTATAATTTAAATTTAAACTTCTAGTATATTTTCTATTTATTCAATAATAAGATATGATAATTTATTCTATTAAATTATTCTATTATATTCTCACAGTTTAAGATAATTTTTTTAATTACACTCTCACAAATATTTTATATTCTTTTTAATATTTTATACAAATGTAATTTTAATACTTTTTTTATATAAAAAAGTATAATATGATGTTTTAATAAAAAATGTTTATAAAATATTTTTTGAGACAAAATATTTTAGTTATTTTACAAAATATAGTTTTAAATTTTTATAAATTTTTATTTGCATCTCTTTTTTTAAAGTCATAAATCATCTCTTTCTATATTATACATAAATAAGTAAATTCTTTCTTTAATAATATAACTCTACAAAATTCACTAAATAAAGTCCCACAAACTATCTTAACTCTTGCATCTTTATCTTTTATTTTAATTTAAAATTAAATTTAAATTATAAAATTAATCTTTATCTTTTCCATTCAATTTAATCTTTATATGAGTAAATATTTTTAAGTTAGCCCTTATCATTTATAAGAGTGTCACTATGAAAAAGCACTAGCATAAAGATTAAAATATAAATTTTACTTGTATGGAATAAATGTTAACTATGGTAATTAAACATGTATTCTAATTAAAAATAAAAAAATAGTGGACTTGTTTTAAAAAAATAAGCACCAAATGAATAAATTGCAAAAATCAAACTTATATATGATATAATTTCATATTATAAAAATATACATAAAAAAATAAGAAATTTTTATAAGAAAAAGAATGCATTCATTATATTAAAGTTATAAAGGGTGATAAATTATTATGATAATTAGTTATTTAAACTCAATCCTATGGATTGAAGTTAATAAAAAATTTTATTTAAGTTATAAGTTTTTAACCTCTTAAAATTTCATAGCTTTTTTTAGTACTCAATATTTATTTTTCTAAACAAGTTCATTAATTTTATTTTAATTTTTAATTAAAATACACATTTAATTTCTACATTTAATACTTATTTATAAATTAGTTTTTATAATTAAAAATTTATATTTTATTCTTTATATATATATATTTACATTTTAATCTCTTCCATCTAACATTGTGAACATATTTATAATAGATAATGACTAATATAAAATGAAAAATGCTAGCAACACACTCTTTAACACACTTTTTATTATTAGCTAAAATTTATTAAAAACTAAGAAAGTATGATAAAAAATATTAATTTAGAAATGAAAAAGAATGTGATTCACATTGTAGTTTTTAATAAATTTTAGCTAATAATAAATAGTGTATTAATAAATAAATATATTGTTAGGATTACTCATATAAAAATATGTATTTGTGAAGAGATTAAATAATAGCTAGCTTTCTTTTCGTCTTTGTGAAGCATAGAAACTACTTGCTTTCTGAGCCACACAGATATTCTAACCATTGGATTTTTTTATCAAATAATTTGCCAACCATTTGATCAAGTATCCACATATCTCTCTTTAGTGAGACACAGTGAATCAACATGTTTATATAGCTTCCTCCATGTAAGAAGAGAGCCTGAAAACCCAACACACAAGAGGGATAAGAAATACTAGAGAAAGAAAATGATCTTAAGTCAGTCAACATTGTTCAACTTAACCAAGTTAATTTTTATTGAGAAAAAAAAGAAAAATAAAATGTAGAAACTATTAGAATGCATATATTTAAATTTATCATCCTTTTGCAGCATAAAAGTCAAGCACAATTCTTTCCTTACATTTATAAGCAATGTAAACTTTAAAATATTACACTATAAATTGGCCAATGGCGAGTAAAGGAAACATCATCCCTTATGTTTTCTTCTCTGAGTTTCCTCTATGAGAATGATCTCAGGACATGGAAGGAATGTTAATGTGAAATGAATCTTTGCAAT